CTCCTCCTCCTCCGCGCGGACTTTTCGGATCGGCCCCTTTCCCTGGCGCGCTCCGCGCGCCAGGGAAAGGGGACCCGTCGCCGATCCGAGAGGTCGGCGCGGGCATCCGCGAAGCGTGTCCCACGAGAACGGCGAGCCGAATCTAAGAAACGCTCCTCCTCCTCCTCCTCCTCCTCCTCATTCCCTCCTCCTCCTCTCCCCTCCTCCTCCTCCTCCTCCTCCCTCCTCCTCCTCCTCCTCATCCTCCTCCTCCTCCTCCTCCTCCTCTCTCCTCCTCCTCCTCCTCCCCTCCTCCTCCTCCTCCTCCTCCTCCCCTCCCCCCTCCTCCACCCCCATCCTCCCCCACCCCCTCCTCCTCCTTCAGCCATGCACCCTGGGACCATGCAAGAACGCTCGGCAGCCCTCACCTTGACGTGTTACATGTTCTTCCTTCCCCGTTCGTCCCTCACGCTGCTGCCTTTCCGTCTTGCGCGCGGCTAGAAAGAATGGGACGTGGCGTCCAGCTCTCTTATTCTGACACTCTCCCTTGCTCACTATGTCGTTCCTGCATTTCCTTCTCTCTGGCAAGTGTGCGGTATGGGCCTGGCGATACGCACGATGGCCGAGAAGAGCAGTCGTCTTCCTCTGGCACCCGTGATGGCGGATCAAACCTTGGGACGGGAAACCATGTAAAACAACATTGTCCACAAGAAGGGGGCAGGGGGCGTGGTGAAGCTGCGACTGTACAGAGAGAAACAGAGAGGGGGAGAACAGAGCGAGAGAGAGAGAGAGAGAGCGGGAGACATACGTACATAAACACATACATACACACATACACACATACATACATACACACATACATACATGCATCCAAACATACAATGTCGCTCTTAATACATGCTCCGCGTAAGGGTCATGCATTCAAAATGCAAGGATATAGTACTAACATGAACGATGAGTTCATGCATACATTCATTCACACATTAACCATGAATTGAAATCATATATATATCTATATATATATATATCCAAAATCAAATTTATTAAAAACTGTCCTGTACATACGTACATACACACATGCATACGTACAGACATGCATACATGCCGTCATGCATGTATGCATGCTTTGATACATGCATCGGTATCCACCTACCTACCTGTCTACCTACCTACCTACCGCCCTACCTACCACCTACCTACACCATACACTCATACATACACACATACATACAGACAGACAGACATGCAAACATACGATATGCATACATAGACGTATATGTGGCACACAACAATCACAACTCAGGACTTGCGATCGTTGGATATAATCACAGACACATGCGTACATAAACACATACATACATACAGATCTATATAGTGTGCATATATAGATATGTAAAGTTAGCGAAATGAAGACTTCCCCCAAACAATGTCAGCACTTGGGGTTCTGACTTCACCTCGATGGAACTAGGCCTGGATGGCGCTCATGCCCGCTCGTCGCCGCCCGTCGTCGCCGCCCGCTTGGGCCCGGCTGGCCGTCCAGCCAGCTTGCCGCCGCCCGCTGCCGCCGCCCGCTTGCATCGGGTGGCATAGCGTTGCACTGCCTCGCATTGCTCCCCATTGCTTTGCACCGAGTGGGTTGCGCCACATGAGGCTTCAACACCCTTCGTGGGCCCCGGAAACGGCCGGGCCGTTTTCTCACCGTTTGCCCAAAAAAGTCCCTTGAAAATGGAAACGGCCAAAAACACGGCGAACGGAAACGGCAAAAAAACAACTCCAGGATTGGAACCGGAGCTGAAACCGGTCAAAAAACGGTGACGGAACCGGTAAAAAAACGGCGTCGGAACCGGCAAGAAAACGGCAAAACGGAACCGGTAAAAAAACGGCCCTGTCGTTTCCAGGGCCCACTAAGCTCCCCATTGCTTTGCACCGAGTGGGTTGCGCCACGTAAGGTTTCACCACCCACACTGCACGGCGCTGACTGATTGCACCGCGCATCTTGCAAGACACCATAAATGTGGGGCCCACGCTGGAAAGCATCGTTGGAAAGAGTAGCGGTAAAAACGGAGCCAGAAACGTTCGGTGGCAACTCGTGAGAGCCTCCCATACAATCTTGCCAGCTATTGCGAATCGACGTTAGTCGACGCTCATCAGTGCTAAATCGACGCTATCTCATCGACTCCCAGACGCTCATCGACGCTAACCGACGCTAAGAACGGAGTTGAGAGAGTTGACTTGCTACCGAAAGAGCGGATGGCGGGCCTGCGACGGGCTTCTTCCTAAACGGCGCGGGACCTGGCTCCTGTCGCCGCGATGAGCCTTCGGCGTCACTCCAACATGCTTCTACTACGTGTGCGTCGCCCCCCCACCCCCAGGGGCGACGCGCGCACAGAGAAATCTTATAGCATATGCGTCGTGGCGTGCGCTCTCTGGCCACACCACTCGGGAAACGATATACTATAAGATGGGTATACGAAATGTTCGGTTCGGACGCGCGCATCCAAGGAGGACATATAGTACTAGCATGTCTCTGTGCGTCCCAAGCGTGGCCCATCGTCCTTGCCGACAGTCTGCACTCGGCCTCTTGCAACCTCGGGTGGCTTTCCATGGGAGCTCACGGTGACCATGCTGCGCTCGGTTAAGGCCAAATCAGGCCAATGAAGGCGCGCTGTGGCGCCTTCATTGGCCTCAAACGACCTTACATAGCAGCGGCATGTGGTTCCTAGTTGGCCTTACATGACCTTCAATCGCATGGCACGGTTCGTCGTGCCCACGAAATGTTCTTAGAACCCCAAAATGTCCAAAAACAATGCTCTCAGAACATCAACCCGATGTGTTCAACCAAGACAGTCTCCACCAGACATGTCCTAAGAACATTCCGTGAGAACCACACAAGGTTCTCAGAACACTGTCTGGTAGGTCTACAGTCGGCTACACGCAGGAGTGACCCTGGATAAGAGTGACCTTTGGTGCGCGGTTTTGGGGGGGCCGCGGGGGGACCAAACACAGGCGCGGAAGGCGCTACTATCGCATCGCGTTCGGCGATCGGGGAACCCCATTGTGCCCGCACCAAAAGGTCACTCCGGCGAAAGGTCACTCTTACGTCTAGTCGATATAGGTGAGCCAGAACGCTTCGCCACTGCTTGAGCTCTGGAGATCCCACGGACGGCCACCTGAAGCAACCGACCATCCTGCGGAGACGAGCCCTCGCCCCCTCCCCCGCCGGGCCGCCCGCCTCCCCACCGGCTCAGCTCTCTCTCCCAGCGGCTGCCGCCGACGCCCACGACTAGTCATCGGCCTGACCTAAGGAACGATACATAAGGAACGAAGCCCCTTCTCGCCAAGGAATAACGCATAAGTAAGGAACGATACATAACAAATGACGCATAGGCAACGATAAATAACGCATGCAAGCGTAAGGAACGACCGAGCCTCTTTTGAAAAGTAAGCGTACCTTATTCAAACCGCTCACTGTAAGTCGGGCAAGTCCCCCTACAAATGGACTGTGGACGAACAGTTCGCCGGCCCCACGGGCCAGAGGCGCGCGGCAACTGGTTGACAATATTTCTACTTCGCGCGCGCGGAGCGGCCCCTGGGGCCCCCCGGAGTCCCGGGAGAAGCCACCGCACTCCAGGGGACGGCCATTTTTCGACATTCCTCACGAGGATCGTGGCCTCCGATGGGGGAACCGCAATGGACTACCCCCCCTCCCGCCCCGAGAGGCCCCCAAAAGCACCCCCAAGAGGCCCTTCTGTGATACCCCAGCTCGTTGTTGTACTACTAGCACTTATATGTATGATATGTTTGCCTATAAGTGAGTACGTGTCGATGTATATGTAGGCTCAAGTGTGCATTACCTGCATTGATACTTATAGTAATTGCCAAGCAATCAGTATATAGCTGTTCAACAAGCAACACATAATCACACATACTGGCATACCAAATAAACAACATGTACCACATATGCGCGTGTAGTAAGACTACATTTAAGTAACTTATAACTCAGGTTCACTAACTTAATTGCAGGGGGCGCGGGAGGAGGAGGCGGAGGATCCAGGAGCTCCGAGGAGGCGGACAACGAAAAAAAAAAGGGATGGAGGGGAGAGGGCGGATGAGGGAGGAGGAACGAAGGAATCAGAGAAGTAAGAGGAAGGAGAACAGAGGAGAGAGGAGGGAGGAGGATGATGGGGGATGGGAGATGGGGGGAAGAAGGAGGAGGGAGGAAGGAACACGCACACACAACTTGCAGCGGCTAATCCGCTTTGTTAAGCGGCTGATCCGTTTTTTTGCCCGAGCGCCCACTGCAGCGCCGCAGTCGAATTGCCGCCAGTGCGAAACCAACCTGTCGTCCTGCGCGCCCCTTCAGGGACCAGGAGTTCGGTTGTTCCTGTTCTATTCCACCGAGAGTGCCCGCCCAATGGCGAGCGACCCACCAACGCAAACTTTGCCACGAGCAATGCGTAGACTTGGCCTACGCACGCGCATGCTGTAATCTCCATGGCTAGGCCACGGATAAGAATGTCAGCGCCTGCGGTAGACAGGACGCCTTGCCATCTCATTTTTTGAACACCAGGCAAGGTTGGCCGAACGCCTCAGTGAGCGGCTGGCTCACAGCCGCAGGCTCGATAAACTCGTTCATTCTAAATTTGTCCATTAATGTCATCACCTTGATTAGCACCTGCTGTATCGAGCTTTTCAGGAAAGAAGTCGTGTTCTGAACGTGTTCTATAGATTGCTTCGCGATCTTATTTTTTTCCGTGCGCAAAACAATCGAGAAATATGTCATCGTCTTGGTCTGACACCGCATGCCACTGGTAGTGGTGCTTTGGAAGCATGTCATCGATGCCGTGCGCTGCCTTGTGCGCGTCGAGATATCGGCCGACAGCGCGCCGCATTCTCTCTCTCTCTCTCTCTCTCTCTCTCTCTCTCTCTCCCTCTCATCGCGAGTGGCGCCGAGTAGTTGTTTGCCTCATTGACCAAGTCCACAACTTCGCGCAAACGGAGGTTACACTGGCGCTCAAGCGCGACCTTGTGCCCAGGGACGTGGTCGACAACAAAGAAACGTATGGGAGGGTATGCGCGCAACAACTCTGGTGCGCCTGCACGGAAGGTGCCACCATCTCTCCACGCTTTCTCCCGATGCTCGTTGAAAAGGTATGCGAATTGCGCTTTGGGGGGCGCCCCTGGCGCTGGGAACCAGTGACAGTCAGCCAGGGCGAGCGCGTTGAGCAAGCTGAACGAGAATCCAGGGGTACACTCTGCAAGCGAATGCAGAAGCTTCCCGATCTCTGCGTTCATGAGCCCACCCGCCAGGTACACGCGCATGCAATCCCGCAGGAGGCAAGAGCTCAGGAATACGTGGGCTCTGAGGTCAATGTCGGCCAGAACGCCGTGCTCGTTCAACGTGAAGCCCATGTCTGTTTGGTGTTTCCCAATGTTTTCTCCGCGCCTGCGCAATGCATTCAGAATGTCGTGCGTTCGCCACGCGTCCTCGGCTGTCATCGGGTCGAACAACGCAGGGCCCGAGCAAGCTGCATTCACGAGGTACGCGCCGTTTTGCCAATCCACCAGCGAATCAACGCGTCCAGCCTGTTTGTTCAGCTTCACAGCGTTTTTGCAAGCTATCGAACAACATTTGATGCCAGAATGGCCCTTGGTGTCGATGAATGTATTT